ACCATGATAACCTCCTTTCTTGCTGAACGAAGAAGACCCATGATGAAGTCCATGGAAAGGTCTTCCCACACTTGATCTGGAATCTTGAGAGGTTGTAGAAGGCCAGCGGGAGACTGTGACGAGTATTTCTGYTGTTGGYAGGTTTGGCATTCGGATACATATTGTAATACATCCTTACGCATTCCTACCCAATGATAGTGGCTACTGAGCCTCTTTAGGGTCCATTGCACCCCTGAGTGCCCTCCCAAGGCGGAGTCACGAAACAACCTTAGCAGTTCAGCTTTGTGGGCCAAATTCTGGGCAACAACAAACTGACCCCTAAAGAAAAGATCAGGCCCCACAACTTGGTAATCAGCAACTTGTGAAGGGTCTCGCCTCCACTTATCTCTAATGACCTGCAACTGCAGATCAGACCTGGCTTCTTGCCGTATAGCTTCAAACAAAGGGAAGCTAGGCTAAGAGCAGGTCAGATGGGCTAACTCTTCTAGTCGTGACAGAGCATCAGCTACTCTGTTTGCAGGCCCCAGCTTATATTCTATGAGATAGTCAAAGCCCATCAGTTTACTAAGCCATTTTTGCTACTCCGGGGTGTGCACCCTTTGCTCTGCTATGTACTTTAAACTTCGTTGGTCTATCCTGATAACAAATTGGCATCCCAATAGGTAATGCACGCCACTTTTGCACTGCCATTACCACAACCATCATTTCTTTGACATAAGTGGACTGACTTTGGTGAACTACTAAGGGAACCTTGCTGAAATAAGCAATGGGCTGCCCTTTCTGCATCAAGACGGCCCCTACTCCTACACCCGACGAATCACATTCTATTTCAAAGGGCTGAGAGAAGTCTGGAAGAGTGAGGACTGGAGGGCTGGAAACTGCTGTCTTCAAGTCTTCAAAAGCCCATTGGGCTTTATCAGTCCAATTGAAGGAATCCTTTTTTAATAGACGCGTTAGAGGGTCGGCCATAAGCCCATACCCCTTAATGAAGCGCCTATAATATCCAGTAAGCCCAAGAAAGCCCCGCAGAGCCTTTACAGTAGTGGGCTTGGGCCACTTCTGGATGGCGTCTACCTTTTCTGGGTCTGCCATGACCCGACTTGCTGCAACCACATGGCCTAAGTACTGAATTTGTCCTTGTCCAAAGGAACACTTTGTCATTTTGACATGTAATTGGTGCCCCTTTAGAGTTGTGAGGGTGAGTTTCAGATGTTCCATGTGTGTCCCAATCCCTACTGTACACTCGAATATCATCGAAAAACATCAAAATAAATCGCCTTAGAAATGGCCTGAAGATGTCATTCATGAGGGCCTAAAAGGTGGAGGGGGCGTTTGTGAGTCCAAAAGGCATAACCAAAAACTCATAATGGCCATCGTGGGTCCTAAAGGCCGTCTTGTGGATGTCAGCCTGGTGGACCCGAATCTGATGATACCCGGACCGCAGGTCTAATTTGGAGAACACTCGTGCCTCTCCTAATTCATCCAGTAGTTCGTCAATGAGGGGTATAGGAAACTTGACCTTCACAGTAATATGATTCAAGGCCCGGTAATCTACGCAAAAGCGCCAACTACCATCCTTCTTTACTAAGAGTACAAGAGATGAAAAAGGGCTGGTGTTGGTCTGTATATGCTCTTCTTTCCAATAGTTCTCTCACTGCCTTCTCAATTTCTAGCTTCTGAAAGTAAGGGTATCTATATGGCCTCACATTAGCCGAATTAGAACCGGATAAGAAAGGTATCTGATGATCACGAGCCCAGGGTGGAGGTAATTGGTTCGGCTCTTTGAATACATCACCAAACTGATCGTGTATCGATCGTAAGGCCATGTATTGGGATTGTGGGGTGAACACAGTCTTGGTTGTCCAGAATTGAGACTGTGGAGCGAATGCCTAATTGCATAAATATGGGTTGGCCAGCATCCTTGGAGGCCCGTATCATGGAGGCTAAAGTGTCACTTTGTGGACTAGGGGGCCGCACCCCTTGTAAATGACAAGACTGGCCATCCTGGTGAAAATCCATTGTCATTTTGGCCCCAATCACATAGAGCAGGGCCTAGGCCACGCAACCAATGAACCCCCAAAATAATATCAGTCCCCGAGAAATCCAATGGGTGGAGATCCACCACAAAATTATGGCCCTGTATGAGGATTTTTTCCTTCTTACATACACCATTACACGACATCTGACTCCCATTGCCCACATGGATTGAAAAGAGAGGAGTGGGTTGTATGGTCATACCTAGCTGCTTAGCCAAACGACAAGTGATGAAATTCAGGGTAGAGTCACTGTCAATCAAAATCATCACGGTCCGACCCACCAATCTTCCTTCTACGCGCATGGACTGAAGAGAGTTGAGGCCCATGAGGGCGTGTAAGGAAATCTCAGCCCCGTCAGGTTCTGGTCTGTCTGGAATCAATTCACAGTCATTTAAGTGCTCTGGGTCTGTCTCTTCCGGCTCTTCCTCTATCTGTAGGAGAAACACCCGCTGGACCCGACATTTATGGCCCGGTCCAAACTTATCATCACAATTATAACAAAGGCCTTTCTCGTGTCGGGTTTGCATCTCAGCCCATGAGAGACGTTTGAAGGGCATAGTGGGTCGGGGCAATATGGGCTTCTGATGATCCCAGCCAGTTTCATGGGTTGCTGATTGACCCGTGGAGGAGTCCTCAAATTTGGGTAGGTCGATTTGCTAGCTCTACGAAGGTTGTCGATTCTTTCTTCTTGCAGGCGAGCCAATCCCATCGCAGCCATGACAGTCGTCGGACGGAGAGCCCTCACCTCCAGATGGATATCCTCTCTGAGACCTCCCACAAAACATCCTACTAAGGCTTTCTTCGGCCAGCCGTGTACCCTGGTCACCATCCGCTCGAACTCGAGCTGGTACTCTGCTACCGTTCCAGACTACTTCAACCGGGTGATCAGGTCGTCGTAGTCCACGAACGCCATCGGCCCAAAGCGGATGCACAAAGCTTCGGTGAACTCCGCCCAAGTTACCTGGGGATGATTCCGGCGATACCACTAGAGCCATAGAATCGTGTCTCCTTCTAGATGAATGGAGGCAATGGAGACGCGTTGGTGTGCGAGAGTTTCGTGGTATTCGAAATATCTTTCTGCTCGAAAGATCCAAGGAATGGGATCTCCACCGGAATAGTTGGGAAGGTTGATCTTAGTAACTTTTCCGGTGGGGTAATCCCCTATTGTTTGGCTACTGGAAGCAGAGGCTTCCACTCCTGCTAGATGACTGGTCTCGCCGGACTGTTGCTAAGAGACGAAGGTGGAGACGACCACTTTGAGTTCCTTAAGTTCGTTCAACAACTGGTGAAATCCAACCTCAAGCTGGTCGATCCTTTCATCCACGGTAGTGGAACGTGTCTGTGGCATCGTGAAGCCTAGGATTTGGATAGATTGGCTCTGATACCAATCTGATGAGTTACCGCTCACCTCGAAAGCCCCTTCGAGGGTGGCTTAACCTCCTGAAACAGAAGATGGGAGGGAAAGGGGAAAGGTAGGAAGAAAATGACTCAGAGAAAGAGATGAAAGGGATATTCATTCACGCCACTTATTACATGATYAGGGCCTTATATAGCTGGCCTACATGTATGCAATCATGGAGAGAATATCTTCTGGTGGCAATGTAACTAACTCTGGGAGGCTCTGCCGCGTGTCACGCTAGCCTCTCTGTCTTCTAGTGAAATGCTGCTCGGTGGTGGCCTGCTCTACTCCTATAGTTGGGTTCGGAGGGAGTGTTTGGGTCCCAACAGAGTCATTCCATTCATGCATAGAGACCTAATGGAAGAAATAGAAAGATGGGGTGGATCCCCTATTTCACCAAAGGGAAAAGAAGCTCCAAGCTTACTGATAAAAAAAAGGCTTCAAGCTTCACTTAATTGATTTATGAATAGGGCTGCCAATCCCATTTCAGTTAAGATTTGTATAAAATAGCATAAATGTCCCTTAATGATAAAATGAATTCTGAAAAAAGAATGATAAAAAGTATTTTCATCTTGAAATTACTATTTAGCATAAATTGTGATTTATGATTTGAATCTACAATTTGACACAAATATGCAACTTCTTCAAAAAAGTGGTTTTTCGCATACAATTTGTATGTGATTCAGTATGAATCATACAATTTGAATTGCAAATTATATATGGTTTTGAAAACAATATGACACTTGTGCCACTTACCAAGGTAACAATAGAAAAAGGTCAACTTGTAAACCAGTTGAGACTTGAACAAAGTCTTGGAACAGACTTTACCTTAAATTCTTCATAATCAACAATGCCATTTTCATCCATGTCTGCCTGGATCCAAAGGTCCTTTGTCTCTTGCACGCTTAGTCCATGGGCATGGCCAGTTAAACCCAGCTGTAACATGACAGAACATCAATGGGTCAATATATAGTAATACGAAACCTGAATCTGTTAATCTTGATTCAGTGGATATGGTATACCTGTCGGAGTGCGTCATAAAAACCTGAGTAGGTAATGTAATCTCCCTTGTTGTCAGCCTTCAGAAGGGCAAATGCATCGTTCTCTGTGAGAGAAGCTTTACAAAGTTGATACTGACCAAAACATAGAAGAAAGAAAAACAAGATCAAAACAGGGCTGGCTTATAGTTACATGCAACGGATTCATAGAATTCTAAATCAAGAAGACAGAATGGTGTATGTTGCATAAACAGGTAGTCGGAAATTTGCTGTTGCCTCTGTATAAGCATGCTTATCCATTGATCTACTATAACCACAACCAACTTATTGATTTTATAGATTATCTCATTCATATCAATCAAAGTTATATCAAAATCAAGGGTTTGATAGAGATTTCAGAGAATCCCTTACATTTATTTACATCTGAATTATTAGGAAGATAACCTATCAGAAAACATTTGTTAGGAAGACAATTATCTTGTTTCATGTTCATTGTAAACTGTTTTGAAAATTAATGAATGATTTAAAGTGTTACTTGTTGATGTGTTTGTTGTTGACTCCAAACATTTAAAGGTGATCAGTCCATCCCTTGGCAACTCCATTAGGCTTTATCTTCAATTTACAGCAAACATTTCACCTATTGATTGAACATTAGTCTATTATAATTTCTATTACTATTCCCATTTGTTCTTCTTAGAGCTGTTTCTTTTTTTTTCCTCCATGTGAAAACAAAAAAAAAATAAAGAAAAAAAAAGGCTTAGTCAACAATAAAAATAAACTGCACTAATATATCTCTTACTTTTTTTGTCTTCCCCATCTATCTGCCTCAGTGCATTCAGATCCTCAGATTTTATAACAGAAGACAAACATAACTAGACAGAGATACAGTAGCTAACAATTTCCTGCAATTTGATATGCTTATGTCCTTTTGACATGCACCTTATTTAGGTAATGTAAGTTTACTCATCATAAGCGAAAGAAGGCTGCAATTCAGACCCAAGAAGGCAGTCTGAAAAGCAACCAAAATTACAACCTCCAGCAGGAGCAAGACTGAAACAAAACAGACATACTAAGATCTCTAAATTCCCCAGATGTGGAAATCCAAGAGATCAACTTGCCCACAGCTCTCTGAATTACATGATCAACATCCTTATACCTACTACAAAAGATTCTACTGTTCCTTTCAGCCCAAATGGACCACAGGATTGCAGCTGGAATTGTCTTCCACATTAGCTTCCCTCTCTTAATAAGACCTTTCAGCTTCCAGGAACACAAGTGATCCTTAACTGATCTCGGCAAAACCCAGTTAGCACCCAGAGCTTTAAGAAAATGCAGCCAAATCTGAAGAGAAAATGGACAATGAAGACAAAGGTGCTCTGTAGATTCTTCAGTGGCCCCACAAAGCACACAACTTGAATCCAGAATTGGAATACCCCTTCTCAATAAGTTAGGCCTGGAAAGACATTTATCAAGGGCCATCGTCCAGACCAGAAAGTTGGCTTTTGAAGGGATCAGAGGGTTCCAAATCTGCCCAGCAGGGAACTCAGAACCTCCCACATTATCTAACTTATCAGCCATGGATTTCATAGAAAACACCCCATCTGGCTTCCATTTCCAGCACCACAAATCCTCCCCCAGCACATCAATCTTCTGAACAAGAAGCAGAGACATCAGCTCCAAGAAGTCATCCAATTCCCAATCATACAAATTCCTCCTTGAGAGAAGGGACCAAGACACTGAATTCTCATTCAATGATAAGTAATCAGCCACAGTAGCCTCCTGATTGGCTGCACATCTGAAAAGGTGAGGGAAGGAACTAGCAAGGGGGTTGTCTAAACACCATTTGTCGTTCCAGAATTTTGTTCTATCTCCTTTGCCCACACACACTGAAATCCCTTCCCCAAAGATAGGAAAGTACCTCATAATTCCTTTCCAGAGAGAGTTGCCCCAATTTGGAGGGGGATCTCTCGTTCTCCAATTTCCCCAATCAACCCCATATTTTTCAGCAATGAGAGATCTCCACCACGCATTCCTTTCAACTGAGAACCTCCAAATCCATTTGCATAATAGAGCAGAATTAAAATTCTTCAATTTCCTGATTCCTAGACCGCCTTCCGCTTTAGGAAGACAAACTTGGTCCCAATTAACTAGATGGACCTTATTGTCCTCCTCCCAACCTCTCCAAAGGAAATTTCTCTGAAGTTGTTCCAACCTTTTAGCCACACCAACCAGGATAGGGATAAGGGATAAAAATTAAGTTGGAAGATTTGAGAGTGTACTTTTGATCAAGGTTACCCTTCCACCAAAAGAAAGGTACTTTGCCTTCCAAGATGCTAGCTTTCTCTCCATTCTCTCAATGACAGGATCCCAGATCGAGGAAGAGAGCCAGTTAGCCCCCAAAGGGAGACCCAAATACTTCACAGGAAAATAATCAATCTTACATGCCAAGACCTCAGCACATTCCTCTAAATTGTCAACCGGCCCCACTGGTATGATAGAGCTTTTGTTCAAGTTCACCTTCGGACTAGACACCACTTCAAACCATATTAAAATACTAAGAATGAGATTCATTTGGGATGGAGAAGCATCCAAGAAGCACAATGTATCATTAGCAAACTGGAGAATATTAACCTTTTCACCCCCCAGGCAGATAGAAAAGCCTTCCCAACTCCCATCATCAGTTGTCCTTTTACAAAACAGGGTCAGAATTTCCATTACACATATGAAAAGCAAAGGAGACAGAGGGTCCCCCTGCCTCAGCACCCTAGAACTATCAAAAAAACCTGCCGATTGGCCATTGATCAACACTGAGAACTTAGGAGAGGAAGTACAAACTTTAATCCAATTCCTCCACTTCTGCCCAAAATTCATATGGTGCAGGACTGAGTCAATACACCTCTAGTTAACATGATCATACGCCTTCTCAATGTCCAACTTGCAAATTAAACCTGGAACTCCCTCTCTTCTTCTTGAGTGAATTAATTCATTAGCAATGAGGACTGAATCAAGCATCTGTTTACCAGGAACAAAGGCACTTTGATTGTTAGAGATGACACTTTCAATCACTCCTTTCATTCTCTCAGCTAGGACTATAGCCAAAATCTTATAAAAACTGTGAAGGAGGCTAATCGGCCTGAAATCTCTCACATTAACCGCCCCTTCAATTTTAGGGATAAGAGTGATGAAGGTAGCATTCAAACTTCTCTGGAGGGAGGCATTCTCATGGAAATCCTGAAACACATTCAATATGTCTTGCTTAACCGTATCCCAGCATTTGATGTAGAACAAATTAGTAAGGCCATCCGGGCCAGGCGATTTATCAACCGCCAACAAGAAAATGGCCGATTTAATTTCCTCCTCCGAAAAAGGCCTTTCAATAAACTTTTGCTCTCCACTTAGCTGTTTAAAAGGAAGGTTTCTAGGAAAGGGTCTACAAGCCCAAGATTCTGTATAGAGATGCTTATAAAAACTTATTGCCACCCTCTTTATATCCGCATCAGAGCTCCCAATCTTGTCTTCCCATTCCAGCTTAGAAATAGAAGATACCCTCAACCTGGCATTAGCCATTTTATGAAAAAATTGGGTATTTCTGTCCCCCTCTTTCAGCCACCTCACTTTAGCCCTCTGTCTCCACTTGATTTCMTCCTCCACTGCCAATTTGTCATATCTTTGCTTAGCTTGGGATCTCTTAATCCTACTTTCCTCWGAAATAGGGCCAACCTCTTCAGCTGAATCCACTTCCTCAATGATACTCAACAKGCYGCYCTTTTCAATTTCTGACTTCAAGGAGAATTCCTTCCTCCAGATTTTTAATTTCTCTTTAACTGTTCCAAGTTTTCTGGCCAAAATAAATAAGCCATACCTTCCATTTGCAGCCCACTCCACACATCCTTCAAAATTTGGGATAGGTTTGCCTCTTTGAACCAGCAATTCTCCATCTTAAACGGGGCTTTGACATTGTCTCGAAAGCCACAAATCAACTGAATTGGACAATGGTCAGAAACAGGTCTAGGGAGAGAAACCTGTCTGAAATCGGGAAACAGATTCTCCCAACTTTGAGAAACCAAGAATCTATCAAATCTCACCAAAGTAGGGGAATCTTGATTATTTGTCCATGTGAACCGACTGCCCTGAAGAGGAAGATCCAGCAACTCGAAACTGTTAATAAAGTCTGCAAACTGGAGCATTTCTCTAGATCTCCTACACCTTGTATTCTTATCATCAGCATAAAGACAGACATTAAAGTCACCTCCAATCACCCAAGGAATGGACAAATTAGCTCTCACCCCTGCCAATTCCTCCCAAAATTCATTCCGACGACTTCTATCTGTAGGGCCATAAACATTTGTTACCTGACAGAGTACAGACCTCATCATTTGTAAATTTCAGCACCAATGAAATTGAGAAATTGCCAATCTGAACAGAAACAAGACTGCAGAAAGATGGGTCCCAAAGAGTCACCAAGCCTCCTGCACTACCCACAGCCATTTTTGCTTTCCATCTGACATCACCCTCTCCCCAAATACTTCTGACCATAGCAGCATCCATAAAATCCAATTTGGTTTCCTGCAACAAGACAACCTTCGAACCCGACTTCTTCAAAGAAGCACAAACCGCAACTCTCCTTCTTCCCGAACACAAACCCCTAACATTCCACAAAAGAATTTTCAAATTCAGCTGAACTATAACAAAACAGCAATAACAGACAAGCAACTCCCAACCTGACCTCAACACTTCTTCCCTCATCTCGCCATCCCCTCACTGCACCCTGCCCTATTGTTCAACCCCCAAATTAACCTCATCAATTCCCTGTTCCTTTTCGAATTCGCTCCCCCTTTCCTCGTCGCACTCTTCCCTCTCTCTAACAGAACCCTATGCTCAATCCCCTCCAAAAACTTGATAGTTTCCTCCTCCAACCCCTCCATCGAAACCCCTAAGTAATTTACCTAAACCTAGCAATTTCGAAGTTACCCAGGTTGAAGACGGATTATCATGTTGCAATCCACCTTGAAGAATCAGGTTGGGAGTGTTACCTCTGAAGTCATCTAGCTGAACAGCACTCCCATTAAACTTCCAGGAACCACCTGCTTTCTCCCTCCCTTCCTCTCCACTTCTCTGAAAACACTCCTCTCCCCTCTCCTCCATCGAATCAGTAGAGTCTACCATCACTAAAGGCACGGCTTCCACAATATTTTCTTCCATTCTCACCACAATCAATTCCTGTGAATCCTGGCATGACCTCACTTGCCGACAAGAACACGAAGGCCTGGGAGACTGGTCAGGCCTGTCGTGATCACCGCCCTGCCGAACTGCTCCACCCCCTGCGAATTTTGCATGCGCCTACATTCAACGGCTTGAGAACCAGTACTACTAATGGGCTTTCCGAACCCAGGGCTAACCACCTCTTTTCTTCGGTAAAGGGACCAGGGCTCACTTAGGCCCAGACCTGTTATTTGACCCCCGTGACTGGCCCCTACCCAGATGTGAGTGACTTAGTTGGAATTTCTAAGTTTCTAAAAAACCTTCCTGCCCTTCTAATAAAGCCTCCGAACCCGAACAGGACTCGAAGACCGTGCTCTGACACAAGTTACCAAAGTTCAGTGCATACTCCTCTGTGGTGACCACATTTAACTCTCTCATGCACTCCTTGATTAATTCTTTTAATTCTTTTAAATCCAGCGCCCGCCCACACATCCCTTTTTCAGAAATTTGAATTCCAACCTCAGGGCTATATCTAGAGGGCCCATTCTGACCCTTCATCTCATCCGTGATCGGACGCTTCAGCATACAGCGCGCCCTTTCCTCTTCTTCTCCATCTCTGGTCGCCAAAAAGCGCTTAGGCAAGCCGAAAGTAGCGTGGGTTTCCATACAGGGAGTCTGCAACTAAGGAGACTCGTCCACATCCTCCACCAATATGGATTTTGCATTGTCCACGTTCACCTTCCCCTAAATCTACTGAACTTCAACCCCCACTGCTCCCCCTTTCCATCTACTCACCGTCGGAAGAAGCTCGGGCCATATTTGCACCGAAAACAAGGACTCACCAGCCACCACCTCCACCCTATTCGGAATACTTTCCCCTCTACGGACCTTCATTCTAACCCATTCACAGGTAGCGATTTCTGAAGGGGAGTCGTCTGTTTCAATGAAGCCCCCACAAACATCTCCAATTGCTTTGATAACGTTAGGGCACCATAGGAGGAGTGGGAGACCAAAAGCCCTAATCCAAATGGAATCCGAAGAAGAGGGTTTTTGTCCATCTGCCACAGCCCTTGGCACAAGATCCATTCCGCCTCAGTACTTGAAGGACAAATGAACAAAAATAAGTCATTTGTCATCTTCTTCACCTTCACACCCCACACCTCCCTCCATGTTCTAGCCGCCCATGCTTCCACCTCTCTGGCTTCCACCCCTCATCTGAATCTCCCCACCAAACACTGCCGCAGAAAGCAGAAAATCCCTTCTTGCTTTCACCGCTTGACTTTCTGTGATCACCACTAACTTATTTTCCCACTTTCTCACCTCCGCAGTACCATAACCCGGCCAAGCACCTGCCGCCGTCACCTTACTATAAGATACTTTAGATCTGGTTCTCGCATCAGCCCCACCTCTCCGAGACCAATTCCCGGCCTCCCATCTCCTATTTCCACCCGGATGGAACCTGGAAAAAGATCTACGAGACATCGCAAACCTTTCTCAAGGCAGCCTCACCATTGCAAGAATGTAAAACAAATATTGGGAACACTATTTCTGGGCTATGTTGTAAGAATGAAAAACGCAAACCTCACCATCGCAAATGGAACAATGAACTCATGAATTTGGTGTTTTTCATTAGGTCCCACAAACATAAAAACACAAAAAGCCAATTTTCCTCATACAAGCAACTATTATTTAAAAAGCAAATTTCAACCTTTTTTTTCTTAGAAGAAGATATAAAAGTGTATTAATTGAGAAATGTATGGAATGCCAATTTAAATGTTTATGATACACAAAAAATCAAATAAGCATATAAAGCAACAGAGATATTGTAAATAAACAATAAACATAATAAAATAAATTGCTTACCTTGATAATACCAAAAACTGCTTCACTCCAACTTGTCTTTAATGGTTTCCGATGCGTATTAGGATTAAGAAGCCATATAAAATCTACAGCACAGATGTTACCCCGATGATTGCGGTGGCTAACCCACTGAAGGAAGAATATAAACGTGATATGCATTGTTAAAGAACATTGGCACAAAATTTCTGCAAAATTCTATAGTATAGTTTCAATATAAAGCTGAAAACAATGACCTTATGTGCATCCATGTCATTGTCTGTGTACTGATGAGCAGTATCGTAAGATGATACAAAACCCTGGGACCTAAGGAACTTGTAGACATGTCCACGCTTGCTTCCATTCCAATCACTACAAAAATTAATCAATTAAAAATAGTAAAAGCATAAAAAAGGTCCCATAATATGCTATATAGCTCTCAAATTAAAAGCATTCAAGTACTAACCCACAGAGTATAATGGGCATGGAGTTAAGATTGCTTTCTTTCTGATATGATTCCACATATTGCAGAATTTTGTACACCTATTTCACAATGTATATATAATATCAGCTAGAAGTAGTTAATTCTATGAACTTCAGAAAACCTAAACAAAAAGAAAGTTAAGTACAACGACATCTATGTAAATGTCAAATACCTGATCCAATCTTACAACTGACAGGCTAGAATCATGAGGAAATAGCAAATGGGTATTCACAATGAGGATTTCTTGCTGAATATTGCCACTCCAACTTTGAGAAAAGGGAAAAACTGATTCAACATGTAACAGCTGAGCAACACGGTCTCCGAAGTCATTAAAGAGCAACTGTCGATAGTCTAGAACCCTAAAGTTGTCCTTATGTACGGCAGTCAGTAGGCCTGCAGAATACGCATAGAAACATCTTATAAACCAATCCAATACCGAGCATTGGTAATAGAACTATAGAAGGAATAAGGCTGATAGGTTTGAGGCCAACAGAAGCCAATATTGTTTGGGTTGTTTCTTATGGGATTCAAGTTGAAAGTTTCATCCTTCCTCAACACTGGATACAGATTGACCAGTTGTGAAAGAAACTACCAATGCCAATGCATTTTCAGGAGATCTCTCAAGGATAGTGGGATTGGTACACTGAAGGACTTACAACCCCCTGTGTACTTGTCTAAGAGCATAGACTTGTGAAAGTCTATAGTCAAATAGAAGAAGTGGAAAGATGAAAGTGTCGTTTGGCAAGTTTTTTGAAAGATCCGACAGGTGACAGCCAAAAGACATAGTGGGCTTTTACATAAAGATCTTGGCAGCCACAGGTCGCTTGGTTGGAGGTACATCTTTCTGCACAAAGACAAGACGGAATGAGTCAAAAAACTCCATTTAGAGCTTCTCGAAAATAGTCAGGGCTGCATCTTTCAGCGGGTAGATCTTTTCCCAAACAAACCAAAAAAGACGAAAACGCAAAAGCCAAACGAGGACGAAGTTTAGGAATACTAGTTGCACTGTTTGTTTCACACTTCAAGTGTCAAAGACAAAATCTCTTGCCAAAAAAAACCGTGTCAAAGACAGTAATTAACAGTGTAAAATGATAGAACACATAAGTAACACATGTGTAGGTGCGGGAAAGGTGAGAACTTGAACTGCAACCCACATGGTACCTTTTGTGATAAATAAAGTTGACAATCTGACATGACATAACTAAACAAACAAATAAATGTCAGGGGCTCTTCCAAGTGAATTTGGCTTCAGTCCGTTCGAGCAGCCTTTACTGTCTTGCATTGAGAATATCTCTGTACTTATGTATTTCATGGGGAGATATTCCCAATGCAAGGTTGAGAAAAGCTGTTAGAACAGTGTGGGCACAGGTTTGCCCTGATGGAAGCAGATCTCCTTCCGAGTTCAGACCAAATTCACATCTGCGCCCCACAGCCGTGTGTTGGGAACATCTCCCACTGACAATTTCGGAGATGTTCCCAATGCTGAGATGGGCATGTGAGGCATTAGTGGGGTGCCCTCTGTGGGGGCGCAGAGGTTCAGAGCCGGCCATGAATACCACTAAAAAGGAAGGTAGAAATAGGTCAGATATTCAGACCATCAACCAGCTTAGACAGAGTCATTCTCAGTATTCCCTCCACTGAACTAACTCAGCTCAGCGAGAATCAAGTCTCACACTTGAGAATGATCTCTCACCGTCCTGTTGCAGATTTCTCAAAGTACATCTAAGTTCCAGAAGAAACATTTCCAGATTTCCATTGTCACCATCAATCTTCAAAACCCTAAACCCCCTGTGCCTACTCCATTGTCTCACAATTTTAACCCTCAAAATTTCAGTGCTATATGTAAGAGCATAACAAACAAAGAGGCTCAGATTAACGATCCAAATATCCCATGCAAAATGGAAATAGAAAAGCTAAGGGAATACCATCACCACGGTTGTTCGTTCGAGCAAGTTTAAAATTGATATAACCAGCATCACCGAGACTCTTCTCATATAAGTGCACGAGTTCTTCATTTCCAACCCAGAGCTCCTATGATGCAGATCAAATAACCAGAACCACCAACTTAAGACAACTTGATGAACTCGAGGAAAAGAGTATTGAAGACAGAAAAGGCACAAAAACAAAAGGCCAATTGCAACCTGAAGACAAATAATGGAAGATCTCTCGTACAACAACCAATCCAATATGCTCTGGTTTCTGCTAAGCCAGTATGCTCTGTGCTCGCTTTCACGACGGTTCTGATTCTGTGCTTTTTTTACGAATAAATAAAAGGAGTCGAGCAACAATTTGTAGAAAAGGAAATGCATACAAACGAAAAAGAAAAGAAGAAGATTCAGCCAAAAGTTGCAAATTTCGAAGAAAAATAGAAAAACAGAGATTAATAGAGACACCCTTCTTCCTCTTCCTTCCTTTTACGATTTTACCTCCTTTAAATTTATTAAATAAGAAAAATAAAAAGATATGCGTACCTCCTTGTCGAGTCGCTTGTAGATGGGGGCAAGGATATTGAAAGTGGTGCAGGAAATGCAGGGGTCAGTCATGGACGCATGGCTACTGATTCTTGAAATCCTTCCTTTAAGCTTGTTGTCGTATCCAATCGAACTGCTTTTCGCAAAATTAGAAGCCAGTCCTTTTTTTTTTACCAAGAAAAGGGGAGAAGAGTGAAGTAACAATGTCAGGTAGAGAGGAAAAACTAATCCTGAAGTTCCAGTAAATAGATAAGCACAGAAAAGAATGAACTAAAGAATTAAAACAGAGGCATTAGAGAGGTTATTTGAAATAAAAGAAGTAAAATACCAGCATTCATGGAAATCTACAAAAACGAAGGAAGCAAAAAACGAATAAACGGGAAGATTGTTGTTGTTGTTGAACGGAAGAGAAAGGAAACAAGAGGATCATTTACCATCTAAACCTTGTTACTGTTGTTGTTGTTGTTGTTGCGGATGCAGCTGGCTGTTGTTAGAAAGAAGGAAAGGGAGGAAATGGTTAGGGGACGGGATGAAATGGAGAATCTGCAAATGATGGTTCCGGAATTGAGATTTTTCAAATACACCCCTCCCCAAAACAAATGAGAAAAAAACAAAAAAAAAAACAAAAAAACAAAACCAAAAAAAGGAACTGTATTGCATTACATTGATAAACATGATTTTTGTGTGATTAAAACCGCTCTTTATTGTCCGTCGAGAGATTTCCATTTTTGAGAGAACAGAAGAAAGAGATGCGCATTTGTCAACAATGAGATGGTGACGAGAAAGATGGATGATGGGAGGAGAAAATAAAAAGGAGAGAGAGACCCGGGCCAAGGTGCATTGAGTGGGAACGGCCGGACGGAGACCACTTGTGAGTTGTGACTGTACAATAGGAGATGGTTGTTTCGGTTAGTAGCAAATCTGAACCGCCAATTACCAACCAATGTGCAAGGATCAACGGTGCCTTTTTTTTGTTTTTGGAATCCTTGCTGCACATGCTAGGACGTTTCATTGGAGCCTTGCTGCACATGTTTTTGGAATCCTTGCCGCCTGTTTTTGGAATTATTGGAAACGTTTTTGTACTTTTACCCATTATCCAATGCCACATCATTACCTTGTTGGAATGAGCTACATTTCCAGGAAACGTCAAATTTGGCGTTGCTCCAAGCCATGCCTTCCCGATTTCCAAGGTGTGGCTTGGAGCACTGTTTTCTATGGAAAAAACTGTTCCAAACAGATGGTTGTTTCTTGGAGCACCATTTTTTCCTATATAGCGCTATTGTGGCGTCGTTGCTCCAAGAAACGACAATAATACCAAACAGCCACTATATTATATACTAGCGGGCCCGTGCAATGCACGGAATTGGATTTAAAACTATGGTGCTACTACTACACGACCGGAGAGTACCCAGGGTCCGAGGGAGCGGGGATGGGGATGAAGATTGCCTTAGCGGGGACAGGGTGGGAAAGGGATTAATAGGAATACCTGATTGGGGATGGGGAGTGAAGTCCACACCCCTCCCAACCCCAATTATAATAAATATATGTGTATATATATTATATTAAATATATAATATTATTTATGTTATTTAAAATATTATTTATATTTTAAAATTTTCTTAATTTTAAATAAATACCTTTGTAAAAACAAACTTTTAATTAAAAAATCAGGCATTCAGGTCCCTGATGGGGAACCCCTCTTCATTGAGGACAGGGGATGCAGGCTGAAATTTTTTATGGAGATTAATTTTAAACTTCAGATCAGGATGGGGAGTATGATCCCTGCCTCGAACCCACCCATTGCTATTCCTACCTGGGAGTCATCCTCTAAACCCATAACACACCCAAGTATAGAATACTTGGGTGAGTTAGAAGTTTTATAAGTTAACTTTCACTAAATTACCAAAATCACTAATTATTGCTAAAAAATATAATAAATATCAAAATTACTGAAAATATAAAAAATAAATTTATATTTGTTGAAATTAATTTTCCACTAAAAAATTACTGAATTTTTTTAGTTATTATTTGATAATATCATTAAATATTAATAAATTGACCAAAATTACTAAAAATATCAATAACTACTTATTGCTAAAAATTACTGATAACTTTTAATTATTAATTTTTTAGTAGTTATTGATTTCATATATATATATATATATATATATATATATATATATATATGCTATGTTTGGATAAGCTAGATAAATGTATATAAATTTTATAAAAATATTAAAAACATTAAATTTAATATTAAAATAGCTACAAATTATAAAGAAGTACGTTACAATTAATATAGCACGATGGACAAATATCATATAATTTTATTAATAATACATCATCAAGAGTCCAAAACACAAATTATATAGATTTTTACAAATTAATACATGAACAAAGTCGTTATTATTTCATTTCTATTAAAATCCAAAGAACAAAACATATGTAACAATTATATTTGAATTATTATATCAATTATCGGAAAAATGTCAATTAAAAAAATAGTTCTCAAATGTTTGTTAAACAATATTTTTATTTTTATAAACAATTAAATATGTTATTATAAAATGCAAATTAAAATATCAATTAATAATTTACAAAAATATATCTTAAGTTAAAATATACCAAATATATTAAAATTTTAAAGATGCATATCATATAAAAATTCATAATTTTTAATTACTAAAGTAATTATTTTATTAATAACATTCTTATTTTTTTTATTTTTTAAAATATAAAATCATTTTTTTATTATAAATGTAGATTAGTGGGTATGATAGATTCAATTTATATTTTATTCTCAAATATTTTGTAAATAATATTCTTATTTTTTGTAAATAATAAATACATTGTTAGTTAATGCAAATTAACATATTAATTAATCATTTATAAAAATTTTAAGATACATATCATGTGCAAATTTATAAATTTTAAGCACTAAAATAATTATTCTATGATTAATATTGTTATTTGTATAAATTTCTTGAGATTAAAAATCATTTTTTGATATAAATGTGAAGGTGATAAATCATTTATTCTAGTTTATGAAATACTAAGTTTGAACATTATTATTTTTAATTTGTAGTTGGAGTTGTTGAATAAAAATATATATTATTTATGTGGATTGCATGTGAACACTAAATTTAGTAAACATTAATTTATTTCATTCATTACCATAAAATGAAAGCTAGCTTGGTGGTTACTAAAAGTCTTAGTTGTAATTTTACTTAGGTTCAAAGCATGCCAATGCCTTTTTCTTTTTTAAATAGGGAGTCAAAAATCCGATGCACATATTGGTACCTTGAGAATTATAGTTTGGATTTTCTATTAACAATACACCACCAACAAGGCTTCCAATATTATCCATAATTCCGCATCATCAAGCTGCATTTGTTTTAGGTGTAAATTCAGTTTTACATCGATGGAAAATGTGAACCGGTTTAGTTGTCGATGGAAATTGGGACTGGTAGATTTTGAAAATTTATACCGACCATGTTTGGTTGTCAAGGTGTAAATTCGGTGAGACGATGCAGTTCTTTTCCCCACTACCTAGCTGTTAACATTAAACAAACGTTACTAACATTTCAGTGTTTGAACTAATCTGACAAAAACTTCGTCGACAGCTGATTCTGTTTGGACTATGTGTTCTTCCGTTTACGTCATTGTTTTTCTTCTTCACACAACACAGAGGAAGACATGTCACCAACCTGGGTCGTTCCCTTCTATTTACAGGGTGATTTCAGTGGTGGTGAAAAAATATAAGCTTGAGTTCGTTGTTGCCATTCTACATTCATCTCGAAGGAGAAGAYGATCTACAGTGATTAAAAAAATAGAACAGAGGAGGAGGGAAGAAGAAGAAGAAGAAGAACAATGGAGGAGAAGAGAGAAAGAGATAGAACAAAAGAAAGACAAAGATGGAGAGAGAAAGGTCAGAGGTGGGTTTAGATCTGCGGCAGCAGTGACGGAACAAAGAAAGAAAAATGGGGGGAAGAAGAAGAAGAGAGAAGGAAAAGAGAGAGAGGGAGAGAGAGAGAGAGAGAGAGAGAGAAATCCGGTTGTGGGAGATCAGATTGGGTTTTGCCGATGTTGCCCTGGGTTCGGATTGGGTTTTGCGGGAAATCGGAGTGGTGGAGAGGACTCTCAACCAGTTGCCAAAAACGCCAGTTCCGATCAGAGCTTTGTCGGTGCCAAAATCTCAGACTAGATGTTTGACAGAGAGCATTGACGCCAGCAAGAGAAAACGGTTAAAACAGAGAGGAAGAAAGAGACGCTAGTTTTACATCCTTAATTTTGATGTAAAATATCGGTGTAAAAAAAATTCAAAAATGAGTTTTGCACTGATTTACAATATAAAATTACACTCTTTCCAAACATGTGTAAAATTGAACTGGGGTGTAAAATTTACCACGGTTCGATTTTCCACCTCAAACAAACGTGGCCTCACAATTTTTTTTGGTAACATTCAACATCAAGAATTAGAGTGATACCATCATAATCCCACAAATCGTTGTTATTTTGCAATTTTTTAAGAGATTGTCAACTTATGAGTAGAGTGGTAATATGATTGGATCCAATTACCTCCACATCCAATCCAATTGTCAAACCTTTTTTATCTGAAATTCGTTATATCGGACTTTATCAGATTTGGATTTAATTAACATATAATTTATTGTGTTTAAAATAGTAATAAAATAAAAATAATAATCTATATGTTTGGGTTTTGGTCGAGCTGGATTAGAACTCCACATGGTGGCCTCCGCAGCCATCGTCTCTCTCCAGCCACGTCAACGCCACGCATGACAGATAATCATAACCAAGAAGGAGTGTCCTTCACAGACCGAGAACTTAACTTTGATGGGGAAGAGGAGTTATCCCAAAGACCTCGGCGGAGGACCTCATCCCAACAATCCCAGAAGCCTCATCCGACTAAAACGTGGACGTCCAACTATAAATAGGTAATCTCCACTCAAGGTAAATGACTTTTGAACTTTGATACCTTTGTTTTAACTCTTCTGCTCAGACCAGCATTGTTCTTACTTGCTCGGCTCAACCACCTACCCTTCCATTCAACTGACTTGAGCATCGAAATGTCTACCCGGGGAATAACTCCTTGGGCCTCTGACTTTCCCTCTTGGTTGCAAATCCTAGTGCGCAACTTCGTTCTTCAACCTTGGCCTTGTCTAGTTGGTAGGATTATTTTATTGCGTCCTTGGTTCGAAACACCTCGGAACAGACAACATCAAATTGGTGTTGTTTGTGGGAAACACACAAAAAACCATTTCCTAAACCTCTTTCCACGCACTCAAGACAACCATGCCTAGATACACATCTAACCTCTCTAAAGCATGCTCCCCATCTCAGGGTTCACACTTTCACCGTAGCTCTCTACCTCGAGAGCCCCAACAGCAGACCACGGTCGATCCCGTGTAATTCCAGGTGATGCAATAGAAGGTTGACCGCATTCTTGCAATGATGGAGACATTGGGACAGCCATCTCAAGCCCCTCAAACCGTTCACCTTGTCGCATAGACGCTTACTACAGATGATCCTCACACTGAAGACCCCAAAAAGTGCCACCTAGACAAGTAGAGTGTCCGGTCAAACCATGAAAGGCAACAGTCATCTAGAAGACCAGACTCTTCAGTCTAGTCCCGTGCACATGATATTTATAGCAAGTCACACCATTCCACCCAGATACCGACAAGAGAATAGCTTGGCCAATGTCTACCACAACCACTGATCTCGATAGTCAAGTCTAGTTTGGTCCAAGATCG